CTGGCATTTCATGATGCTCACCTTCCCAACACAATTGCTGAAGACAAATGGGTGCATAAACAAATGTGGTGAAGAAAGCTGATGGTGCCCAGCTAGCAAAAAATATAGCGTCTGGGGTCTCAAAGGCTGGAAGATAAACAAACGCCATCTAGCTCAGAAGTAACAAAGCCCACATGGAAGAAGCACACCAGCCTGTGTGATCACAAGGTGTCAATGGGATCAGGCATCAAAGAACAAAACATATCATTGTGAATGCGGGGGGAGTGCAGAGTGGGGGACCGAAAGCCCAGCTGTAGGCAACTGGACATCCCCTTACAGAAGGGTCACAGGGAGGAAATGAGCCAGTCAGGGTGCAGTGTAGCAAAGATGAAACATACAACTTTCCTCTAGTTCCTAAATGCTTCCTCCCCACTACTATCATCCCAATTCTACCTTACAAATCCAGCTAGACAAGAGGAGGTACAGTGGTACTGATAAAACTGGAAACACAGGGAATCCAGGACAGATGATCCCTTCAGGACCAGTGGTGGGAATAGCGATACCAGGTGGGTGGAGGGAAGGTGGGGTACAGAGGGGGAACCAATCACAAGAATCTACATATAACCCCCTCCATGGAAGACGGACAACAGAAAAGTGGGTGAAATGTAAGACATCACAAAATAATAATAATTTATAAATTATCAAGGGTTCATGAGGGAGTGGGGAGCAGAGAGGGAGGGGGGAAAATGAGAAGCTGATACCAAGGGCTCAAGTAGAGAGCAAATGTTTTGAAAATGATGATGGCAACAAATGTACAAATGTGCTTGACACAGTGGATGGATGTATGGATTATGATAAGAGTTGTATGATTTTAAAAAACAGTGCTGCCTTAAAGTGACCTCTTCCAAGCTGATTGCTATCTGGCCAGCTATTCCATGGCTGATTGCCATCTGCAATAAATATATATAAGCCGGCAGCTTGATCTCTAGGAGCAGACATGCTCCTCCAATGAACCCGGGGACTGTTAGGGTCCAGCCCACTTTGTGGTTACCTGTAATTAGAGGGAATACATTATGACTCCTTCTGCGGACCTGGATCTCACATATGGTGGCAGGGAACAGGGACAAAGACGCCTCTTCAACACTTCCGTATCAAGCATTGTGTCACCTCAACGGATGGGGGAATCGAGGAAATTCTTTTGAAGTGAGAGTCCAGTTGAGGGATTCTCAAAATTTACATAGAAAAACAGGGTGAGAGTAAATTTAAAACTTATACTATTACCCTGACCCACCTACTGAAGAAGCAGAATGTAGTGGTAACGAGCAAAAAGGTGCAAGGTTATTCCTGCAGAAGGAACCTTTGACCTAGAGACCTGGGAGAAGGTAGCTGTAAACTTAACAAAAGCACACTGAGAGGGGCAGGGACATGGTCTCTGTGGGTGCGAGTTAAATGATTCTGGAACCGCTCCAGACACAGCAGGACAGGAAAGAGGAGCATCAGGGTAAGTCTGAAGTAAGCTATCCAACCTTCCAGAAGCGGACAAGCCATCCAGAATGAGTATGAAATAGTTGAAAAGGTTTTAGAAAAAAACAAAGAAACGAAGTCCAATTTAAAGAAAGCCTCATGGCAAATGCCTCTGTGGCACCCCAGGAATGCAGTGCAGAGAGGTCCCAACACCGCAACACAACAGGGGAAGTAGATAAGGGCAAGGAGCATACTAAGCATAGCAAAGCATCTTCACTTTCAAAGGTAGAGAGCGGAATTGCAAAAGAAGGAGGTTTGGAGAATACATTAGCCTCCCCTGTGCCTGTTATTGAGTGGGAACTTAATGCAGAGAATCCACAGGAGTTCAGGAACACCATTACAGAGTGTTCCCTTTTAAGGTGTTAAAGGACTTCAAACAGGTTGCCTCAAATTACAGGCCGGACTCTCCCTTCATAATTAGCATGATTAGATCTTTAGCAGAAGCTGACCTCTGGATACCTGCAGACTGGCAAGACTTAACAAAAGCTTGCCTTTCTCCATCAGATTACAGAATCTAGTCTGGTGGTCTGACTGTGCTAAAACACAAGCTAGCAGGAATGTCAAAGAGAATATAGCAATAAGAATAGATAGGTTAAGAGGGAAAGAACCCAGACATTTCCATTCTGCAAGAAGGGAAAGCACTGGGCACATAAGTGCCGCTGGAAATTCAGCAGTAAAGGAGTTCTGTTAGCAAACACTACCCAGCAGGGAGCTAAAGAATGGAGCTTGCTCCAAACTCTCGCAGAGCATGGGAGACACTGCTCAAAGCTAAGTCAGCACACACACCCTTAAGCATGCAGTCATACCTATCCCCCAGCCTCCCAGCAAGGGGCCAGACCTAACCAAACTTGCCAAAGCCCTGGTCTTGGTTCTCCCTGCAGTAAATGTAAGTAGCCAGGAACAATTTCAAGAGCTCCCACAGCAGTCTGTTAAAACCAAAAAACAGGAGCCTCTGCTTGAAAGAGCAAAGCAGCTTTTATCAGGGAAATTTAACCCAAGTACTGAAAGCATTCAAATGGATACTGAAGTTATTCATCAAGGTTATGAAGAAAAGCAAAAGGCTGTTATTAAACCAGAAATTATGAAAATTGGTATTTGGGGTCCGCTACCACAGAACTATAGGGCATTTATTAGGAAGGTCCAACCTAAATTCTCAAGGTGTTCAAATGAGTTATTGATCCAGATTATGAAGTAGAAATTAGAGCAGGGGTTAAATCTGAAGTATGTGGCTTATAAAGAAGGCAGTGAGGGCTGGGGAGGAGAGG